GACCCCCAACGACTAAGCCACCCAGGTGCCCCCGTTCTGGAAATTCTTACCCATTTAGTTTTAGGATTTTAAAGATATTAAATACCTACCTGTATTTGTCCTAAAAGTCCTTTTTGTGAATCTCCTTGAAGATGACACTCATTTTGCAAGAGAGTAAGAACAATTATAGATGACCAAAAATCAGAATAGACATGGTTAAAGATCTGATGAGATGAGAGTTTACAATATAGCTGGCAAGGAAATCAGGTTATTTCTGTGACACATAACACTTCAATAGCCAGAATATCGAGTGATGGTGCTTATATTAAAACATTAAAACTTGGGGCACCTGGGTGGCTCAGTCGTTAGAGGTGTCCGCCTTCGACTCAGGTCATAATCCCGGGGTCTTGGGATCAAGCACCGCATCGGGTTCCCTGCTCAGAGGGAAGCCTTCTTCTCCCTCTCCCACTCCCCCTGCTTGTGTTCCCTCTCTCGCTGTGTCTCTCTGTCAAATAAATAAATAAAATCTTTAAAAAAAAAACCACTAAAACTTAGGAATTGCATATAGCCTCTAGAATAGTTATAGCATTTACCCAAATGTTACCTAAGGCTTATCATTTGTTTTAACAGTACTTCTGGAGTGACTTAGCATACCAAATAAAAGGCCTAATGAGTTAGAGAGACTTCATTTACAATTTAAATCTTGGGAAGTTTGTTAAAACCTTAGAAAGTTATATAGCACATGCTTGAATAGGATTACAGATCATTACAAAACAATTATTTTTATTAACCAAGGTGACAATAAGAGATTTGAAAGGCAAATAAATATGTAGGGTTCTATAGTTGTTAGCAAAACTTAGCTCCTTTAATATTGAGAAGTTTTAACCAAGTGATTGAAGACCTGATGACGAAACATATAGAAACTGGTTTTCTGGACAGACAAGAACAAAAACCTTTGTTTACATTTTCTTACCCAGAGCAGATGAACAATTCAAGAAACCTTGTCTTTTGAACAGAAGAGAATTTCAGTCTTACACCAGTGTACCTTTAAAATAAAAATAAATAAATAAAAATAAAAATCCATTCATTTCAATCTTAGTCCATCCTGACCACACCTAAAATTCCTTTCCAAAGATTTCCCATCATTCTTAATTACATTTAGCAGAATTTTGCACTCTTAGAAACCTTAGTCTCCAGTGAAGACTAAGTAGAACCAATTGTGAACTGTTACACCAGAATTCTTTTAGACGGCAAATTTGTGAATAAGTTAAGCACAAGCATGTTTACCAACAGATTTAAGTATCTTTAGTTTCTTTGCAATAAGAAGTGAAAAGGCACAATCCCCGTGTCCAGTAATCAGTGATTTAGCATTTTATCCTATTTGGAAAAGTCCTAGATGTCCAACGAATTAATCCCATTTATTCAAGCAAACTTTAAAGTATCAGGTTACCCAAGACTTTGAAAGCTATCTTAACTTCTATGAAAACTTTGTTGAGACAGACAGTTAACCATCATTTTAGTCATCTTTTTGCTAACAACTTGCAACAGAAATAACGAGCTTGTTTGACCTTCAGTAAGTCTCTATAGAATAAGTTTCACATTTAGTGCTGTTAAGTTTAAAGACATGTCTATCTTAATTAAACCAACAAACTTAACTTAGTTTAAATACTGAATTATGTTCCACCTGGATCCTCCTCATTGTTAATTTTTACCTGAGACACTGGTGGTTGGTGTTAGGTCCAGGGGTGCTCTTCATGCTCTTTGACAGTGAAGGGAGAAGGAGCCCTGGTGCCTGAGGTACCCAGGATGGTACGGAAGCCAGTCACGCAGGCCGCCCCCAAGGTGGTGCGGAAACAGAAGGGGGAGGGGGAGACAGAAGAGGCAAAGTGCTGCCAGAAGGCGGAGAAAGAGCTCCCAGTTTTAGAGCTCATCAGCTCCAATAGAGGCGCAGATGCCATGTTTTCCCCGCCAACGAGGGGGGAGGGGTTAGGCAGTCCATGTCGGGCCAGAGAAGATGGGATTTCCCCGAAACAAAGGGAGTTTTGGCAGCTGCTAGGGAATATTCCTTAAAGCCCCCCTGCGGAAGGAGACTAACCACATTTGGCTCCAGTTACAGCCATTAACCCGGGAAGCGAGTGAGGGAGAAGCCCCCACATCTATTAGGAGGAACAGAGAGAAAGAGAGCCAGAGTCCCCTTTGCTAGGAATGGCCTGTGTTTCCTCCGGCAACCAGGGTTTGGTCGGAGGAGGCCTATTTAGATAATTATCATCCAATATGTCACGAGCAGGTTTACTAGCGGACACATCGGGCAATCACATTCTGCAAAAGGCCCTTAGGTCGGGGTCCTGGTGTAGAACAATGAAGGCCTAGGTGCGAGCAGTGAAGTTACCCTAGGTCCATTTGCCCTATTTCCTACAGAGATCTAACAGATAGATCCCACAGAGGCCATGCAGTGTTACAGGAGCTTAGTCCTTTCCTGAGTTTTGTAATCCAAATTGTTTCTAGTGGGTTAAAAGGCACCCCAAGGGAGAGTCCTTGGGAACCAAAGAAGCCTGCTAAGGCCATGCTCCCAGAAAAGTAAAGAAGGTCCATTACCAAAATCCGTCCCCCCCGACTCCTGGGTGGCATCCCGCACAGGGTATGTCAGAGGTTCCAGGTGTCAAAAGTGACCGGAGGTGTCCCTTAACAAAAATCGCTATTGATCACCATCCTGCCTTCCTGTGAAGGCATTCCTGTTGTAAAAGGCCCCGTGTGAGGGATGCCGGCGTCCCTCCCCTTCCCCATCGCATCCTAGGCTGCCGATGGGTGCCTGGTGAATGGACTAAGATACTGTGTCGCCCGATACCCTGAAAGTTATGTTACTGCCCTGCCATTTTTAACCCATGGAAAATGCTAGAAAAGTTTTAGTAGAGGAACACTGACAGAAAACAGTAAAGATTGAAATCCAGCATGGTCTAAGTGACATTCCAACACATGTAGTCTTTACGGCCAACTTCCCTAGGAAGCAGTCCCCGGTTGGGTTTTAGTTCAGTCGGGTACTGGTTTCAGCCGGCTCCCAGTGGAGGTCCCCCGTGGCCAGAAGTGGCTAGACCAGGGATGTGAAGGGGATCACATTAGATCAATCAGGAGGAAACCTCACAAGGGAGTCTTAAGATTGGCAGCCGTCCTGGTGACTTAGGTGGCTGTCCCATGCCCAAGACAGACAACTTTCTATAAGGACAGGAATAAGGAGAAGGCATCGAGTTTCTGGATCTTATTACCATCCCGGCCAGGTACCAACTTCCAGCCAAAAGGCAGGCTTTTTCCTCCCCGTAGAGTAGCCACGGCTAGAGGATTGCAGCCTGAGCAATGGGCATGAAAGTGTTCCAGTAAGACCGTACTCCTTGAAGAGCCCCGGAAATGAGAGTAAAGGAAGAGAGAAAGTACTCACCAGTTTTGCACCGAAGGTCAGAGTCCAGATGGAAAGACTCAAAGCCCTACGTTTGGGCACCATATGATGAAGTTTTAGAATATTAGTGAGGTTCAGTGGGGTGGAGTCCAGAGCTGACGACTAAGAAAGAATCCTTGAGACGTCTTTGGTGCAAAATGGTGGTTTACTAAAGCACAGGACAGGACCCGTGGGCAGAAAGAGCTACTGCCCCAGGGTTGTGAGGGGTGGCTGATTATGAACGAGGGGTTGGGAAGGGTAAGGAAAAGGGAAAGGATTTTTGTATGTTAAAGAAGACTCACAGGATACGGGAGGCCTCGCCATTGCCAAGTTAAGGTTGTTTACCCCTCTAGTAAGGCATTAACATTAAGATAGTTGGGAACTTCCCAGAAGAATGTCACACAAGTCCCACCCAGGAGTGGGGGTTGGGGGGAGGTTGCAGGGTGTTGGCTTGCTTTGTCTTCAGCCAGCCTTCTGTTCCCTCGTCACTTGCCCTTCTGGTGACTTCCCCTGCAGCACTTCTCTGAGCCTTAGTTTCCGCTGTAAAGGTGGGGACTGGGCAGATGTATGTCATAGGTGCTGCAAGAAGTGAACCAAAGCACATAAAAGGAAGAAGACAGGAACTGACATTCTCTTTTGACTGTATCCGAGAATGAAAGAGGAACTTCACTTTGCAAGTTGACTCTTAGGACCAAAGGGCCTTTTTTATAATACAGTTTTGGAATGTTTCTTTCTTCCTTCTGAAAGGGCTTTTGTAGGTGTGGTGGGCAGGACACAAAGGAGTAGTCACAGAGTGCAGGTAAAATGTGCCATTTTCGGGCCACAGGATTCAAGGGTTAAAGTTGGTTGACTTCGGTGGAATTTTTTTAGAGTAGCAGGATCCCAGAGGCTGGGCTCCAGGTAAGGCTCCCTGGGGAAACTAATCCTAAACCATTGACCGACTTGGAAACTGAAAAAGCAGGGCTCTTTCTGCATTACTTAGGCCCTTTGGAATTGCTAATGAATATGTGTCAAAATGACCCTTATAATCTGGCTTCCGCGTCTGGCCGGTGGAACTGGTCTGTTGGGTTCAGAATCTGGTTTGGACCAGTGGTAAATTCCTGGCTGCGAACCAGATGTAGACCTGCTTTGTTAAACTGGTGTCTGCTCAGCGCGGGCCTTCACCATCCCACAGCAGCGGGGAGATTATGCGCCTTGCTAAGTGTGAAACTTATGGTGAAGCATTGTGTTTTTCAGAAGTTCTTCTGAGACATTTGCTTTCCTGACAGTGCTGTGAGGTAGATGCTTGACTTTTATTCCCATTTTGCAGCTGAGACAGAGATAAAATGAATTGCCCAGGGTTTCCCATGCTGGTGGAGTCAGGAGTGGAATTTGTTCCTTCTAACGCGGGTTCCCATACTCTTTCCTACCCTGTGCGAAGGAGGTGGGAGGTGTCCTTGACTCAGGAAGCCCTGTCTAGGAGCCCCTGCTCTGGTCAGAAGTTATTTTTTTAAAATTTTAATATAATTTTAAAAATTTGTTCAAATCAGTTCAGTATGAATGAGTATTCACTATACTCACAACACAGTGTTAGACTCTTTGGGGTATTGGAGATGAGTGAAACAGTCCTGACTTTCGGGGAGCTGACCCCCTAACAACCAGATCTAATACAAAGCGAAATGCAACAGGGGCCATAACAGAGGGACAAACTCCCAAGTTTTTTGAGCACTAAGGAAGGGAATTAGGAATATCTTCACAGGGACTTTGGCATTTGAGCCAAGATGTGAAGGATGAGTGAATAGAACTTTAAAAAGAAGTGTCAGGGTGTTCATTTTTGACAGAATGGGGACCAGAGTTGGGAATAATTGGGCATGTTATGGGAACATGGGATTCAGTGTGACCAGAGTACAGTACAGGACTGAGGTTCTCAAACTGCCAAGTGTCTAAAAACCCACAGGTCTGGAATGGCATCCAGGAGGGGCACCTACGGAGTGGAGACGTGGGATCAGAGGTTTCTTGTGGAGGTACCTTGGAAGCTGAGGTCTTACAGCTGAAGGGGCAGGAGAGAGGAGTCATGTTCTAGGCTTGAGGGAACAGCCCTTTTGAAAGGCACTTGATGTGTGGGATTTGCAGGCTATAATCCTGGTAACTGTTGTTACCTTTCTCAAACGTGTTTTGATCTGGTGCCTCCCTCCGCTGCTTCCATGTGCTTCTGCATTAGTCAGGAGTCTTGGCAGTAAGCAGCGGAAACTGCCTCTGGCTAGCCTGAACAAAAGAGTTTATTGCAAGGACAGTGGCACACAGACTGACCAGAAAAGCTGCAGAGCCAAACTTGGCAAATGGGCCAGAACCAAGGGAGGCTCAGCAGCAGAGCTCAGCTAAGGATAGCCCAGGGGCAACTGGGTGAGGACCCCACTGCCTTCCTGGGTCACTTCCGCAAGAGCCACGCTCCTGGTTGGGGGTCTGCATGAATCTGGGCTGACAGACAGGAAACCTTACCTCCCACTGAGACCATCCAGTGGGGGTTCTCCACAAGGAATATCGGTGTCAGTGGGAGGCTCGGTCAGATGTTGGACAAACAACAAAAGTGGCAAATGTCCACTACATTTTCTGTGCCTCTCCTTGCCTCCGAAATAAGAGCCAAATGCTTAGGGTGCCATTAAGGCCTTTCACAACTTAATTATAAGCAGCTCCATCTCTCCACTCTGTTCCATGCTCTCTCCATTTCAGCTGCTTGCAGGGCATTTCCTGGTGCTGTGGTTTTGTTTAGCCTGTTTCCTTTGCCTGCAATAACCTTCCTTCTCTCTGACTCCTAAAACTCTTCATCCACTGCCATCCAGCATGGATCAGTCCTGTCTCCACTCCCTGACGGCCCTTTCTTTGGGAGGCACTTGGCTATTCTTGCCCTTATCACAGTGGGTGGGAGTTGCTTGGCTTTCTCTGTCTCCCCTGTGAGATGGGGAGGGGGAGGGGAGCCAGTCCTTTGGAGTCCTGGAGCACTAGGCTGGGTTCCCCTGCTAGGTGCTCAGCATCCTCCAGCTCCCAACACCATAACACACAGTATATGCAGGTGCTGGGTGGGTGTTGGTAGCACTACTTAAAAACTTTCTTTGCAAGTATTTGTTTTGTCCTTAGTCTTAGGGAGGTTTGAGGGTGGTAGAGTGGAAGGATGGGATGGTGGGTTGTTGGGGTCTTTCACCTTTGCCTGGCTGGTTTCAGGACTGAACAAGGTTGAGATCCCCTGCTGTGGAGACTCTGCCCCCAGTAGAGTCAGGAGGGTGGTTCAGCTTGCACCTGATTTTGTTGACCCTTGGTTACCTGGCACTGTGAAGTGCGATGCCCTTGTCTTCCAGAACAGGACCGTGCAGGATCGGTTTCTGGGAGTCCCTCACTCTGCATCTTGCTCACCTTTCGGTCTCTTTCCAGGAGAGTGAGAGCAGTACGGTGCAGGGCGGAGCAGGTGAAGGGCCAGAACTACGGGAGGACCGGAGGTGACAGTCCTTCCCTTTTTTAGTGGGGGATGTTGGCTCTCATTCGTGAGTGAGGCACTTAACGAGCATCTGCCTGGTGCCAGGGTCCGTTTGGTGACGTCCATTCAACAATAGAACCAATGCGTCTGTCTGTACGGTGTGGCGGCTGAGAGCTTGACCTCAGACCCCGGCTCCACCAGCTGCCTGCCGACTGGGCGACGGTGCGCGAGTGACCTGACCTCTCTGTGCCTCGCTTTCCCTGTCTGTGAGGTGGAGGCGATAATGGCGTCTGCCTCACAGCGTTACGGAGGTTAAATGAGGAAATCCATGCAAAGTGCTTAACACAATCGCTGACAAATAGTAAGAGCTTAGTAACTGTTAACAGTTCTATACTATTTTTATTATTGTTACTACTCATTGGCTCAGATTTTTTCCTCGTGGTTGTTGTTCAAAGTCTCTTCTTAACCTCTTTCTCAGAGCAGGCATTTCAACGTAATAAGTGGAATAAGAGGAACAGCCTTTCAAAAGTGGGGTGCCAACTATCTGATGCCCCTAATCTGGTGTTAGGTAAGGATTGGCTGGGACCCGGGGTGGGGCTTTTGCACGGGTGGTGCCGTGTTTGGTTACTGACTGCAGCATTCTGAGCCCGGCCCATGAGGCAGGGCATCCGCCAGGAGGGACTTCCGGAGAGGAAGCCCCACAGTGTGGTTGTTGGGGCGACTCCTGGGGCAGGGTGCTTGCGAAAAGAGCACAGGCTTGGGAAGAAGGGGAGACTGCTGCTCGCTTAGCCGCCTGCCTACGACCGTGTGCGGGTCACCCCCGCTTTGGACTTGGACTTGTTTCCTCCTGTGTACCCACCACCACTTTTCAAGAACTTTTGTGTCGGCGTGTCGGCAGTGTCCTGCGTGCTTTACACGTACTAGCTCTTTTTTCAAAGAGTACTTGAAACAGCTACCTCACAGGGTGATTTGAAGATTATGTACCACAGTATGTGTGAATGTGCCAGCAAGGTGTTAAAAGCAAAAACAACTGGGTGGCAGTGCTAATGAGGTGCTTTTCCAGTAAAAAAAAAAAAAATCATGTTTAAACTTTGCGTATAAATATATACTTACACAGAAACAGATAAATAGCAGTAAAAATCAACAACAACAAAAGCTTTTTAAGCAACATACACCACGGGTTCTTCCCGCGTTGTGTACCTCTTTTTATCCTAACACTTGGCACCTGGCCGAGGCAGATGTTTGTAACAGGGTTTTGCCATCAGAACATGTACCTCTTGAAGGCATTTAATTTTGTGTCTGGCACATAGCAAACTCAGTTAATGTTTGTTGAATGCATATCTTAATGGGTGTCTTTATTGATTTGTATTTTTCAAAAGAGAGAGAGGCTTCTAGAAAGAGCATCTTATCAAGGTTGCAAGAGTCTCGTTTGGAGAATAAATGGAATCATTTGAATAGGAAGATGTGCTCACAAAATACAAATAGCCAGGCAAAAAATATCTCTCCTCTCTTCCCCCAGTGAATCAGTTACATGCATGCTTACCCTGAGATTAATCTTCCATTAGCATTGAACTTAATATTGGAAGTAATGAGATGGATTACATAAGCAACCCCCTCCACACACACACCCCTAAATTCTCCTTACTTTATTGTCACTCCAGATCTCTCTTGCATCTCTCTCCCAATTTGTGATGAGCATAAATTAAAATCCAAGAAATGTTTGTTTTCTAGGGGAAAATAGTATGCATAGAGGAGAGATTCAGATAAACCTAAATCTGATCTCAATTCAAATCTTGGTTCAGCCATTTGTATCTTATGAGGGGGACTCGGGCAAGTAATTTAATTTCTTTGAATCTTATTTTCTTCGTTTATTAAGCAAAAGAATGATACTGGGCTTGGGGTTTACATAAAGTACTAAGTATCAGTGATAGCTATTATTATGTTGTCCATCTAGAATCAACATGAAATTAATTTTAGTCATAACCACCTCTGTACTTTTAAATAAAATATAAATGTGATCCCTAATTAGAAAATAAGTTTATTAGCTTCATCACTGTGTTATTTTTGCTTTTAAACATCAATAGTGTGGGGCGCCTGGGTGGCACAGTCAGTTAAGCATCCGACTCTCGGTTTCAGCTCAGGTCATGATCTCAGGGTCATGAGGTCGAGCCCCACGTCAGGTTCTGTGCTCAAGATGGAGTCTGCTTAAGTTTCTCTCTCCCTCTGCCCCTCCCGCTTGTGCTGTCTCTCTTTCTCAAATAAATAAATCTTAAAAAAAAAAAAATCAATAGTGTGACCACTAGCTTTTAATCAAGGATTAAATTAGAATCTAACCTGGACATGATGCCCTTTCATATTTGTTATGTTAAAAAAAAAACCACTGAAAGAATCAAATACTTTTAATGTTCTGGATGTATTCATATATATGGACATGAATATATATAAAATGTATATATGTGTGTGTATATTTGTATACACTTACGCATGTGTGTGTGTGTGTGTGTGTGTGTGTGATATATACATATATCAGAGTTCGGATTGTTTCCATATCTACAAGAAACTGAGTCTCAGGGAGATTTCTTTTCCAAAGGCAGCATGGCACTTGCATTGCTAGATTCATGGCCTGGCATTGCTAATCTGATAGCCAGGTTTTCTTCAGCCAGTTCTCTTTGAATTTATACTTGGGAATCCCCTTTCTGTTTGGCCTTCTAGTTCTTGGCTTAGCTTTTTGACATCCTGCTTTTCTCCCTTATTACGATTCTTTGCCACACTTCCTTCACATAGTCCTTGGAGGTGGCCTGTTTCCCAGTGTGGGCCATTTTCTAGAACCTCGTGTATAACTGGAACTTTTCTTGTATCAATTTTCAGATTCTTTTCATCAGTTGGTGAAGTTATCCAGGTTTTTGTTTCAGCTATTCTGATATTATCCTCTCAAGTCAGAATTCAGTCTTAAGTTTGTGCTCAGAATGATACTTAATGCATTCATGATGTCATGGGGTTCTGGGGAGGCCAGTGGCCCCACCGTACAAACCAGCATGAGCAAGAGGTGCCCCTTCCTAGAGCACTGTTGGATGACTTACTATGGCCTTTTCTTCTTTGATAAGGAGAGAGACCAAGTTCATCAGCATGAGCTATAGAACCTGACACGATTTGACCCTGACTACCTTCCCAGCCTGCTGCCCTACCAGTTGCCCATTCTCTTCAGCAGTGCTAGCTCTCTGCCTCCGAGCCTTGGCTCGTGAGATTTTCTGGGCCGAGAATTCACTTTGGGTGCCCATCAGCCTTCAGTCCAGCTCCCTCAGGAAGCTCTTCCACCTGCACCTTCCCTGTGTCCTCCTTGCTGCTGTGATTATGTCACTTTTCACTAACTCACTGAGGTCAAGGAGGATTTTTTTTATCATCTCTCTAGGCCGGCACACAGTGGGTGCTCAACACGTTTAAATCCTTTTGCATTTACATACCCACTTCACCAAAAGTAGAAGCTTTACAGAAATTGCAGATTTGTCCAGATTTTCCAGGATAACCTGGATTTCAAAAATATCTTGTCCCATTGTGAGGTGATATGTCCCTTCCAGTTTTGGTTCAGAAAGCATAATTGCCATTTTTACAGATTGCATGAAAGTTGCTTTGGGAAGCATTTCAGTGAATTGATGCCAGTTTTTTAAACTGCCAGAATGATTAGTGCTTGGAGAGGTCCAGGGGAGTAGAAGATTTTGTCCATGCACTTTGTGAAGCATAAAATATTTTTTTAAAAGCCTTTAAAAATATAACTTATATGTATAGTGTGACAAAATAAAAATTTTTAAGTGTTAAAAACCTACTCTTACACTAATATATCATCAGCACGTATCAGAGATTTATTAATATTATTAATGAGAAAACCATCAAGATGACAAAGCTGGATCAAAGGAGAGTATAAGAAACTGGTATTTATGTAGTTTTAAAAAAGGATGCAGGGGGCGCCTGGGTGGCTCAGTTGTTAGGCGTCTGCCTTCGGCTCGGGTCGTGATCCTAGGGTCTTGGGATCGAGCCCCATGTCGGGCTCCCTGCTCCACGGGAGGCCTACTTCTCCCTCTCCTGCTCCCCCTGCTTGTGTTCCCTCTCTCTCTGTGTCTCTCTCTGTCAAATAAATAAAATCTTTAAAAAAATAAAAAAGGATGCAGGAGTAAGATTGCAAATTTAGATGCAAAACTGGCTAATGTCCTACAGGGCAATAAAAATAAAGCCTTCGAGTTTATCTTTTTTTAAATCATTTGCAGCTTATCAATTTTCTATAAGTGAACATCTAACTTTACAGAATGTGGGCCTAATCTGTGGTAAACAGAAAGTCAAACAAATATATGTTTCCACAGAGCATCAGATGACCTTTATGTAGTCATGGTAGACATGACTACCTCTAGTACAACTCTAAAAGGACACTTTTTTTTTTTACCTTATTTTCAAGTTCCAGATAATTTCCTTTTTTTTTTTTTTTTTTTTTTTAAGAGAGTGTGTGCAAGCGGGGGTTGCGCGGGTGGCAGAGGGAGAGAGAATCAGAAACAGGCTCCACGCCTAGTGCAGAGCCGGGGCTCAATCTCGCCACCCTGAGACCTGAGCTGAAATCAAGAGGCAGATGCTTAACCGACTGAGCCATCTCTTAACAAATAAATCACAGTTGGGTTCAAGAGCTCAAAGACAGCTGGATCTGAGATAGAGAAGAGTCCGGGTTGAGAATAATTTTAAGTGTTTTTTGGGTTTTTTTGAAGATTTTATTTATTTGACAGAGAGAGACACAGCGAGAGAGGGAACACAAGCAGGGGGAGTGGGAGAGGGAGAAGCAGGCTTCCCGCGGAGCAGGGAGCCCGATGCAGGGCTCCATCCCAGGACCCCGGGAACGTGACCTGAGCCGAAGGCAGACGCTTAAAGACTGAGTCACCCAGGCGCCCCAATTTTAAGTGGTTTTGAAATGGAATTGTGAAATTGGGACAGGAAGAGGGTGGTAAAGAGCAGAAGGGGTGAGGTGTGGCCGTCACCGAGAGGGCTCCCCTCCCTGTCCACACCAGAGGCATGTGCAGAGAAAGGGGCCGGTATTTTCCCCAGGTGGATGATGAGCTGAGGTGAGTGGGAAGTGAAATCCCTTGGAGTAGGAGGGAGCAATCAGTAGGAAGCTTTGAAGCTTGTGTTTAAAAGATTTGATTTGATTTAAAAGACTGTTGGACCAACAAGATACTCAAAGAAGACAATTGTCAGTAGGTAGGAGGTTGCAGTTGCAATCAAGGCAGAGTATGGAAGTTAAGCAAGGAGAACTCTGGTACCATGAGAGGAGACCTGCCAGAAGTTCATAGTAAACTTCTGGCAGAGGAAAGAAACAGAAAGAGCAATTGAAGGTGGTGCTGAAGATCATTCTCCTGGTTGAAAGAGAGCTGCTCTGGGGCCCTGTGTTGGACAGAGAAGTCAGTACTGGCCCTCCCAGCTGGGGCTCTCTGAGGCTGCCCCCAGCCGGGCAGCTAGGGAGGGAGGGCCAAACAGAGCAGACCAGAAGACCATTTGAGAATGACTTTTGCTTCCCTTTGTGCTTGCTTTTTCTCTTAATTTTCAACTGTTTTATTTCATTATGTAATATTTGATATATGCAGTGATACATTTGTGTGTGTTATGTAACACAAGCGTTTGAGAACCCCCACCTCCCTGCCCAGTTTTCCTTTGTGGTTTCTTTGCCAGTAAAAAGAGTTTACTCATCCATCGCCTAAAATATAGGGTGCCTGAGTCACTAGTTTGCCATCCTGTGTCATTCAGCCCTCCTCCAGACTCCCTGTCCCCCAAGAAGGTGACCCAGAATTCCCTTGAAGTACGTGATGCTGTCCCTGTGCTATGAGCTTCTTAGCAAATGTGCCCCCTGGTGTTTGGAGTGATTTTAGGCACCAATTTGCCTGTTATAATTGTCCCTGTGTTCCTTACATTCTTTGCATTTCAGCTTCTGAACTGCTCTTCTGGGTGACCTGAATGGAGGTAATAATGTTTCAGGCCCTGAGAAAGCAGTGGTGATTACAGATAGCAAAATGGTGGAGAAAGGAAAAGTTACCTCACTATTGACCCTCAGGTTTGATACTAGTCTACGTTTGATTTTCTTTTCTTAATTTTTAGAAAAAAACATCCTAGGAGGGAAGATAGGATCATCAGCTTGAATGAAGGATACTTGTTTCTTAAGAGGCATACTTGGGAATTAACTCTTTTGTGTTTACCTCCCTCTCGCTCACTGGTTGTGGTCCATCTGATTCCCAGCGGCCTACAAACATCACATACCACACTTATTCTGTGTTCATATGTTGTTTGGGCAGATCTAATGTGCAAGATTAAATGAACAACACTAAATGAAGAAAGTTTAGGTGAATATCCTTATAATCTTGGGGATGAGGGACATTTTCAGTGTTAACACAAAAACCATGTAATTTCATTACACAGTATTAGCACTTGTATATAGTCCTTTCTGCTGTAATGCAACATGCCCGTCCCTAAAAATCACTGCACTGAGCAAAATCATGTAATGCAAACCGTAGGGCTTATGGGGCAAATGGGATTTGGGTCGCAACACTCGAAATCTTCAGAGGTGACAAAAAGAAAATAAAAAGACTAAAAGTTAAGAACCTAATAAAACAGCTCAGTTTTACAGATATTCAATGGGTAAGAAATACAGAAATACCACAACAAATAGGACCCCTTACCTTAAAAAAGACCTGAGGTTTGCTTGTGGAAGTGGGCAGTAGAAGTTATAGCTTCTGAGTTTCTGTGAGATGATGGATGGAGGGCAGTCTGTAGTCCGATAGAAAGTTCTGATCCAGATGTGGATGGTTAGGGTTCATAACACATGCACTGACCTGACGAAGCTGCTGGATGTTTGAGGTATGCAACTGTGTGCTCATTTTGTGTGGCTCATTTCACTTGGGTATGTTTTTGCATTTCCTAGTGTTTCTCTCATGCATAAGTAAACACAAAATTCATGATATGCCCAGAGTGTTCCCTAATAAAGCCAAATGCATTGGAACAGATTCAAATTTTCAAAACAAGAGTCCAAACAAAACTGTCAAAAAGAGCTGTCACGAATAACGTGCACTAAGCTACTACTGAGTGCCAGGCACTGTGCTTTAGATTCCATGCAGACTGTCTCTCAGCATCCCCATGAGGTAGGTGTAATTTCATCCCCATTTTATAGATGAGAAGTAAAACTTACCCCAAGGTATAAGGCTAGGACGTGATAACTTAATCACTATGCCATTCTTTTTTCTCAACAAATTTGTTTTTTTAAAGATTTTATTTATTTATTTGAGAGAGAGCACACAGGAGCAGGGGGGAAGGGGGGCAGGGAAAGAGAGAGGAACAGGAGAGGGAGGAGCAGATTCCCCACTGAGCAGGGAGCCTGATGGGGGGCGGGGGCATGGCTCCATCCCAGGACCCTGAGATCATGACTTGAGCCTGAAGGCAGACACTTAACTGACTGAGCCACCCAGGTGCCCCTCTTTTTTCTCAACAAAGTAAAAGAAAAATAAAGTGGATTGTATATCAACCGTACTTCAATTAAAAAAAAAAAGTGCGGCAGATATTTGCACATATATAAGGAGGAAATACCCGTAGTATATGAAATTTTTTCAAATCAGTAAAAAGAGACAAATAGCCCAATAGAAAAATGCACTAAGGTCAAGAGCAATTTACAGAGGAAGAAATACAAATGGCCAATAAAATTGGCAGGGAGACATCCGACCTCATTTAGCGCTCACTCATGCAAGCCCACACAGTTTGATGTCATTCTTTCCCCACTGTCTGAATGACAGAAACAGATGTGGGGAAATGCTGGTAGAAGCATAGATTGTTATAGCCTCCCCAAAGCACACATACCTGTCCTTTGACCCAGCCATCAGTTTCTAGAAGTTTATCCCAAATCAGATCAGTGGGAAAAGATTTTTGTTAAGAGTTGTTCACGCTGGGGCACCTGGGTGGCGCAATCGGTTAAGCGTCCGACTCTTGCTTTCGGCTCAGGTCATGATCTCAGGGTTGTGCGATCGAGCCTCCACGTCGGGCTCTGCGCTGAGCTGAGAGCCCACTTGAGATTCTCCTTCCCTCCCCCTTTGCCCCTCCCACTAGTGCTCTCTCTCCTAAACAAAGAAATCTAAAAAAAAAAAGAAAAGAGTTGTTCATGCTAAAAAATTGAACACAGCCGCTTGTCATCACTAAGTGGTTAAATTCTAGGGTGTCAATAACAATATGCTATGATACAGTACTGTGGGACTCTCAAAGGTTGCTGTCGTATCCACAATGGTTGACACTGACTACTTCTCACGTGTTGCTAAATAAAGGGAGCAGGGTACAAAATAGCATCTTCAGTACGATCCCACTTTAGTGACTGTTGTCACAGACACACACGTGTGCTCGTGTGTGCAAGCAAGCCTTGCTCTCAGGAAGGACACATCAAAACATTGACAGTAGCTGTCTCAGGAGGGTGGAATTGCTGGATTTCTTTTTCTCATTTAACTTTTTTCTAAATTTTTTCTATAGTGAGTGTGACTTTTTTGATTTTGAAAAAGTTATTTTAAAACATTATCTTACACAAAGTGATAATAAATACAAAATATAAGAAGAATAGATGACCTCTGTAAAATCGTTCTCTTAGCACCTACCTGGGCTAGGTAGCAAAGGCCTGCTGAAGAATTGTTGGCTCACTGACTGTGCGGTTTGGAGACAGTGTGTTACCTCAGCTGGGGCTTTCGACTCTGTATTCCTGACCAAAATTAATCTGCCCAGATTTTGGGTCACCTTACTCTCAGGCAGATGCTGCTGGCTGGGCCAGGCAAAGTGCTTGATGTTACCTCCAGGTTGCAAGCTCCATGAAGTGCTCGTGAACTTGGGGTCTGGAGGAGGCTCTGGACTGGTTGCAATACACAGGTGACAGTCACAGCCTCTGATTTTGATTATGAGCTTTTAAAGAGACCAAAACCCAGGTGTAGTTTCTTGGGGCCCAGCTTACTTTATTAAGCAAACTTATCCCTTCCTTTAAGAAGCAGCTAAAAAATGGGACTGTGGCTTGTTTGGGGAAGGTAACCGCCAGGAGCACCCCTGCCAGGTAAGCTAGGGTTTGTAGGCCTAGGGGTGGCCCGCCTAGCTCCCAGGAGGCCTAAGTCTGGCCTTCCGCTCTAGGGACCACACAGCTCATCGTGCAGGATCTGGAACTTCATTTTCAAAGCCCCATAAAACCTGTGCCTTCTTCCAGGCCTCTCTTTTCTGGGTTTCATGGCTCTCGGCGGAAATGAGAGCTGGTGTAATTGCGACACTCCAGTGATTGGAACAGGGAACATGAGACATTAGGATGCTCCCACAGGGTGCAGCATGGAGAAAAACTGCACCCGGGGTGGGCTTTCGGTGCCTTGGTTCTCCAGGCCTCGTTCCGGCTGGTGGGGCCTTCCCTTCTCTGTCACTGCAGACCAGATGGGGTCCCGGGAAGACCCCGCGTGCCTTGCTGGAGCTGGGGCTCAAAGAGCCTCTTCCCATTACTTCTTCCTTCAAATGCTTGGTCTTAAGAGGCCCCTCTGCGCCACTCAGCCCAGTGCCTGTCCACCTGGCTGCAGATAACACCACTGGAGCTTGTCATGTGTGGGTTGAAAGGATTTATTTTTTTTTAATTTAAGCCTTTGCATCCCATCTGCTTACACACTCTTAACCTGCTTTGTGAACAAGCTTTGTGACCTCTGCAGGTTACTTCGCTGTGCCAACCCATGTCTTTCTCCACAGAAGGTTTTGGAGAACACTCAAACCAGATGAGATAAGTGGAGCCAAGTGCCCAGGTGCTAGGTGCTCTGGAATTACCACTAACAGGGACCTTTATAAGGGTCTGCCTCTCACCAAACACTCTGCACAAATTGTTTTATCCATCCTCACAACAAAGAAGCCAAGTATTTTTTTTTTTAAAGATTTTATTTATTTATTTGAGAGAGAGAGCACATGAGAGGGGGGAGGGTCAGAGGGAGAAGCAGACTCCCCGCTGAGCCGGGAGCCCGATGTGGGACTCGATCCCGGGACTCCAGGATCATGACCTGAGCCAAAGGCAGTCGCTTAACCAACTGAGCCACCCAGGCACCCCAGAAGCCAAGTATTCTTAAGGCAGCCTTTTGTGGTGTGGAAACCAGGCTGTAGAGAGGTTGCTTGCCCACGTTCACACAGCTGGGTAGGCAGTGTCTTGAGACCCAGCTAGTACCGAAGCCTGTGCCCATCTACCAGGCCTCTGGCCTCTGTTCCCTTATGCGCTCCTTAGCGTTCCATGGATTAAAACAGTCAATCAGGGAGTGATGTTCTTTTGGCTCACAAAGCGGGCCTCTGTGTTGATTCCCCAGAGTAAGAATTTTATGGGAATTCTGGAAAGCTCAACAGATTGTTAGCTTTCTCTTAAAGCTTTTCCTTAAAACTTTTTATAAATCTTGTGTTGTACTTGGACTGTGTCAGCAATAAAGTGTGTTTTGTTTGAATTTTTTGCTGAGTTTAAGGACATTTCTTAATCATGTACAAGGAATTGGAATTGGTTGGTACCAGTTACAATATCTGTGGCATTGTGCCCATTTCTCCTTCCCACACACAGCCGGCTGAGTGTCGAGGGGACACAGCAGAGTGTTGAGGTGTTGGTAAATAATACCACTACAGTTAGTGTAATCTTTGATCTTACGAGATGCTGTTTTGCCAGTAGGTTGAACTGATGGAACACTGGAAGTACTGAACTGCTAAGCTTCAGTCGCCCTGTATGGTTACCCTAGAAACCCCCAGTAGCTTTCTGCTTGCCTAACATAAGACTCTTCATAGCCCAGACCCATTACTGGCATGTGTGTATGTGCATGCACGCGCGTGTGCACCCGCGTGCGCGCGCGCGCGCGCACACACACACGTCTGTTAGAGACCTAGGAGGGGGGGAGGTACTTGTGGGTAGAGGTTTGGGGAATGAAAAGAGGTGGTGTTTTTTGTTTTTGGTTTGTTTTTGGTTTGGGGTATTTTGGTGGCTAAATCAGAGCATCATGTGGCTTTGAATGTTTGGAGAGAAGGGTGTACTGTTCAGGAACAAGCAGTAGCTTCTTGGGAATGTATTGAAGAGGAAAGGGGAGGGAATGGAAGCAACATGAACTGTAGGTCTGAAAATAGCTGCGACAAAGCTGAGGCCCCAGACTTCTAAATGGGGACCAGCCCTGTGGGGAGGCAGGAGTTATAAGAGATGAGTTTTAGTTGTGGAATAAGTTGGGTTTTGGTAAATTTCAGGGAGGATGAACTTGGGGAAGAAGCCCTGGAGGCAGGCTTGAGGCCCTTTGGGCTGGGAACTTAGGGGTCCCAGGTACTTGGAACATAATCTCGAAGGGGGCCGTGGTCTCCAGGTGGACACATCCCCCTGGTCCCACAGACTCCTTGCCCAAAGGGGCCCAGCCCTCTAGAGCGCGGAGTCCAGGGCTGGGATTGCTCTGGCCCAGCCTTCTGGCAGTGAGTGTACTGTGGTGCAGAGGAAGAATGTGAAGCTGGGTGTTCTAATCCTCACTGTGCCCTGATGAGCTGCAGGACCTTGGCCAAGTTATTTCCCTGTTCTGGACTTCGATTATGATCTTTCCATCCACTCCATCCCTAAAGTTCCATGACTCGGAGGCCATCAACTTCATCATCCCTGATTGTTCCTGAGGGTACCAGCAGTGCCCAGGGCTATGTCCTTTTTGGAGAGAAGGCCCAGGGCCTGCCTGTGGTGAGGAGGGAAGGCTGCCTGGAGTGAGAGTGGATTAGGGTCTGGCACAACTTCGAAGCCAGACCCTCCTGACTCCCGCACTCCTGCTCTGTCCTGGGGAGCGGTGCTGAAACTGGAGGTGGCCTCATACCTGAGGCTACTGAGCTCAGAAGCCTTAGGACGG